TGCATATATCCTAGACGATGATAATAGTTTGATTATGGTGTTTACATGTCTGTACAGCACTTTAATAATGCCAATTAAATAGGCATACTCCATGTCTTTATAAGAGTTCTGCTTAGTTTGATTATGACCTTAATCAGATTAATCAAAAATTACTGTTTACATGGTAGACTCTTAATCATAGTATTGTCTTAATCGGATTAAAATCGGATTATTGGTGTCCATGTAAGTGTAATCAGTGAAAAATATTATTAAGGCATTTATTTATTTGAATTGTAACAATTGCTTATAATTCTAATATTCTGTTTGTCCTAAAAGTAAAAAAATATCCTCCTTCACTTAAAACTCTAAAATAAAACAGCTAAATTTAATTTCAATGCTCAAATCTAATTTGCATAAAGAAGCAACCTCATAATTAATTGCAAATTCTGTGTGTAAATGTCTACTGTAGGTTTTCCTTAATCAGTGTGCAGTATTTAATCAATTTTTAATCAGTGAGCACTACTTGTTTTTGACTACAGTGAAAATTTAGATTTTTGTATGCTCTTTTTTTCTGCTCTGAAAATGGTCACGGGTCATTTTATACCTTAGATCAACTCATACTAATACATTATTAAATTAAAAATACATATTTTTATTAACTATAATGTTAACTTTGTTAAAAATGATCTGTTTATTGTAAGAAATTAGTCATTTATTATTGTTAACCAATGTGAAACTGTAAACTTAATGTTTTGTTTTGTTTTTTCAGAAAGGACATTCTAAGGATGATTTTAAAGCCCAAAGACGGTGGTCAGCTGAGCTTTGGGTCCACATCACTGTCAAGTTCTGGATTCTGCTTGGTTGCACTTGAGTTTCCATTAGCTGAATACGTTTGAGGTCAATAACCTGGTTTGTGCAGAGTCAGCACAGTAAACTGCACTAAAACCTCAGAGAGTTTAAGAATTTATAGGAATAATTCTGTCAAAGCTGTGCCATTATTTACACTCCCCCATGTTGTTTTAAACCCCTATGGTGTCATGTCTTCAGTGGAAAAACAAAATCCAAGTGTCTCTCAAGTCAAACCCAACATCAAACAACATTAGTGTCTTGTAACCAAAAATCATGACGTCAAAAACTGGTTTGTTTAATTGGATACATTTTTTTTTTAATGAAATACAGTTTTGTTGATTTAGGTAATGAAAGTCAACCGTTGCCATTACCATGAAGGTCAAAAAAGCAAAATGTTGAATCCAAAATTAAGACCTTTGACTCACAACGATACATTGTGGTCCTATGAAACTACATAATTAAACTGAACATTATTTACAATATTTTTACTGGAGATCCATTACATTGGGCAAATGGAGAAAATCTATTGCATCTAGTTAAATAAACTGATTCGCCAGTTCTTGTATACAATCATGCAATATGTATGTATACATGCAATAATTGACACTAGAATACCAGGAGTCAATAACTTCTAATGGCCATAGCAGTAATTCTAGTGTTCGTATAAGACATTACACTCATTTAAGATGTTTACATTCAAAGCTTCTATTGAGATTTTAAAATTAACCTTTGAATATCTTTCATCAAATATTATAAACGTTACTCTTAAAAAATATATATTTTTTTTGTATAGCAGAATGTTGTAAGGCAAAGTTTTTCATCACAGTGAAAGAAATGTCAGAGGTAAAGTTATGTTATTCTTAAGCAAGAGAGCCACACATAGTAGCGGATGCTAAAATGCAGGCAATCAATTTGAATGCTATGGCCATTCAAGGAAAAAAAAAATACTCTTCTGTGTTTTGTCATTTTAATAAAATAATAATGTTACAATGAAATATACACAGAAAAAGTCAGTGTGCTATAGTTATATGGGTTTTATATAAACAAAGCTATTAAATAACAATATTTTAATAGGGTCAAAATGATTCAGCTGTTCTAGTGTTAAAAGCACCCAAAACAGATTTGCTGAATAAGTTGGCAAATCTGGTGTCATAGAATCCTATACATCAACATACTGACTCATTTTAATCATGACTGTCCGTAATGACTAAAACCAGTTTTGACAAAGGAACTTGTTGAGCTTTGCTGGCTCCAGATGCATATGGTTTCACATGGTTTAGTCAAATCTGGTGAATTAGTTTATCCAAGTTTCTTGTACAGATCAAGCTTTCCTTTTCATAAAAGTATTATCAAAAACCAGCGTTAGTTATGTTTTGTTTGTATATGTTTTCTAACCACACTGTCAGATAAATGTATTTAATGTTCTGATGCAAAATTACCTTAAAAAATGTTAATATACTCTCTCGTTCATTCATTCATTCATCAATTTTCCTTCGGTTTAGATCCTTAAGTATTAGGGGTCGCCACAGCGGAATAAACCGCCAACTTATCCAGCAAATGTGCGACACAGCGGATGCCCTTCCGGCCGCAACCCAGTATTGGGAAACATCCATACTCTCTCTCATTCACACACACTTCGACCAGTTTAGTTCATTCAATTTGGACTCTCACCCCTCAGTCACATGAGCACCTGAATGAAACCCTCGCCAACACGAGGAGAACATGCAAACTCCACACAGAATCATCAAATGGCCCAGCTCGGACTTGAACCAGCAAATTTCTTGCTGTGAGGCGACAATGCTAATTACTGAGCCACCATGCCACCAAAATATACAGTTGAAGTAAGAATTATTAGCCCCCTGAATTATTAGCCCCCCTGTTTATTTTTCCCCTATTTTTGTTTAACGCAGAGAAGATTTTCAACACATTTCTAAACATTATAATTCTATTAAACATTATATTTTTAATAAATGAATTATTTTATCTTTGCCATGATGACAGTAGATAATATTTTACCAGATATTTTTTAAGACACTTCTGTACAGCTTAAAGTGACATTTAAAGCTTAACTAGGTTAATTAGGTTAACTAGGCAGGTTAGGGTAATTAGGCAAGTTATTCTATAATGATGTTTGTTCTGTAGACTATCGAAAAAATATATAGCTTAAAGGGGCTAATAATTTTGACCTTAAAATGGTGTTTAAAAAATTTAAAACTGCTTTTATTTTATTAGCCGAAATAAAACAAATAAGACTTTCTGCAGACGAAAAAAATATTATCAGACATACTGTGAAAATTTCCTTGCTCTGTTAAACATAATTTAGGAAATATAAAAAAAAGAAAAAGAAAAACAAATTCAAAGGGGGGCTAATAATTCTGACTCCAACTGTATACACACTCACAACTTTATTTAGCAATAATGCCACAAAAAACATTTCCATTATAGAACCTTTAAATAAGCAGATCTTTAAAGAATCTTTCATGGGATGTTCTTAGGATACTAATGATTGCTCATGGAGCCATTGATGGCAATAATTAAAAAAATAATAATAATTTTAAGAGTGTAGTAAACTAACAGTAGATTTACATTTTTCAACTACCAACTTAAAATTATAAAATAAAGGACACAGATCACATGTGCTTTGCATTTCTTTGTAGATTGACAAGCTATATGTAAAATGCTTTCTGTGTAAAGACTCCTTTTGGATTTTCTGAAGACCCTCTTTGAACTAGGGCTGCACAATATACCGTTTCAGCATCGATATCGCAATGTGATCTTTCACAATAGTCACATCGCGAGTATACGCAATGTTGAGTCTGGATTTTAATTGGTCATTTTGCAAGTGTTTTTTTAAGGCCTGTGACTGTGTGAGTGTTTTAAAAGCATTCAGGCCTAAGAAAGTGTAGCATTTGTAATTTTTACAAAATTTAGCATTCTACAAAAATACACGATTGTTGGGCCCAAAAACACGATGGCCCAACTCAGCTTAAACAGGCTGCAGGATCGGGAGTAAAGGTATCTTCTGAATGTGAAGAGAAGTGTAGCTGCTTGAAGCAGTCCACATATCTTATCTTTTACACATATTGGGATTACATATTGCACGCGCTTGCATTTTCCAGGCACACGCAGTTGAAAACCGTGAGTCACGTGACAAGAACTGACCGATCAGCTTCATACTTTGTAAGGATTATACACATTTTGGTAGACAAATTATCTCAAACAAACACAGAACACCAAAACACTGCAGTGAATATTAAATTACTGAGAGACCTGCAGTTTATTTTGTATTTTTATAGCCATATTTTTCTGTTTTAAAAGTAACCTCAAAGTAAAGTAATTAGTAATCTGATTACTTTTTTACATGAAGTAATTGGTAATGTAATCAGATTACAATTTTCGAGTATTAATAAGTAATTGTAATTGATTACATTTTAAAAGTTACTTACCCAACACTGGGTATTACTATTGCAATATATATCACATAATAAAAAATATAGCAATGTTAGCTTTTTCCAAAATCATGCCCTACTTTGCACTGTATGATCCACTCAAAGAAAGCAGCAGCATGTCATGGCGATGCCTAAATGACAATAAAACCTTCTTAAGTGGATAAAGAATGAATCAAAACCCACATTCTCTGACGTCGACTCATGAAAATCAACTCTACATGGGCCACTGCACAATTTCAAGCCAACATTTTCCTCGCATGACCCTGAAATCGTCCTGTACTTTCTCTGCATCTTCCTCTCCCTCGCTTCTGCTATCCCTTTCTCCTCCTCTTCCTCCTCATTCTCCCTTTCAGCTATCACATCATTAGAGAGCGTCCAAAGCCCTGGTGCACGAATCAACAGAAACACCTCCTAAGTGATCCTCCCTTGGGCGTATAATACTTCGGCATTGGAAATCTCAGAGTCACACATACTTCCCTCCTCCAGCAGCTCACGTCAGGCAATCGTGACCCATTTGGATGGTTATTACTTACACGCAGGGGCCCTAGCCCTGTCTGTCCAAACACACTCATCTGCTGGCCAGGCAGCTCTGGATATCTGTTCTGACTAAGTGGAGTCAGCAGCAGCCTTGGCTTGTGTGTGCGTGTATGTGTGTGTGTGTGGCTGTATGAAGGAGCCCTCACAGCATTAATGTGAACCGACGGCTCTTTGGCAAGCGCTTACTGAGTGGTTTAAGGATGCTGTTGCTGGCCTCCTCATTGTTCTCTGCATCCGACCTGTCCGAAGTGTTCTCGCTCACTTTCTCCTTTCTGTCCTTGTGACTGGTGCGTCGGCGATGACGTCTCCGTCGCCGGTAGCTCTTTGGCACATGCACACCGATGTATATGGTGTGGTGACCTGAAAGGGAAAAGAATTGAGATGGTAGGTCAGGCTATTAAGATCGCATGACATCATTAAACTGCGAGTAACATAACCACCGTTCTTTGGTGCATTCTTGTTTTGCAGGGAATATTTAAATAGTAATAAAACACAATTGGTTTTCTTGTTAAGATTTTCAGTGAATATACTCTGTTGTAGTGTTGGCACGATACAGGAATGTCCAGCGTTGATATAATACTTTGAAAAATATTGATTTTGCTATCATTTTAATTACCATGGGGAACACATTTTACGACATTAAAAGTATGCAAATGAAGTAGAAAGGGGAAAAAAACTAAACCATATAATGCATTAGGTATGGTAGCAGTCCTTGGGCCCTATCATGCAGCTGGCGCAATAAGGCACAAGGCATGTATGGTGCGATTTGTTTCTATTTTCAGAGCAGCGCAACTTTAATTTTCACGTTTTGCGCCACGTTGTTTAAGTAGCAAATCTATTTGTGCCACTTTGTGGACTCAAGGGTGTGCTGGTCTAGAAAGGAAGTTTGTTAAGGCGCATTATTGGCACATTGCTATTTTGAGGAACTGAAATAGATGTGTTATCAACCAACTAAAAGCTGGTCTAAAGTCTTAGTTATCCGCCTATACAGTCTAAAAGCTTACACATTGCTTAATACACAGGATGTACAGCAATCCGCAAATATCGTTACATATGAAAAAAAAAGGATTAAACTGCTACAAAAAATTTGTATTTTTTACATAAGTATAAAAACCACTGCCTCAATGGCTTCTTCATGTCCATGGAGCTTTTTTCAGTTTATTCATAACAATTTGCATTTGTATAATGTTATTATTATTAGTAGTAATATTTATTTTATGCATATTTATATTTGTTTTAATTTAAAAAAAGTTTAGATTTGTCTGCCTGTCAGGCTTTGGAGATATCTGCATCACCATATGGGGCATAAGAATAGGATGTGTGTTTGGATATAATTGACCACACTTCATTATTATTGTTCATTTATTCATTTGCTGGAGATTAGAAAACTTAGAAATAGTTTTCTTATCTCCTGCAAATGAATAAATGAACAATAATAATGAAGTGTGGTCAATTTTATAGAATTTAGAAAAAAGGTTTGATATAAATCTTTGCTCTTAGCAAACTAAATAAAATGTTTAGGCTAATGGATTATTGTTATTCCACCCTTCAGTTTCAGATAATCCTTCAGAACTCATCATTCAGTAACATGCAGTTCTTATGGTCTATGTACTGTGTTGTTTACTTTTTTTCATGATACAATTTTGCAGAACCGAAGGGTTAAAAGTACAGCATTTGTTTGTAATTGGCATCTCATACGTGTCACTTTTGACTGCGTTAATATGTCCTGCTTGAAGAATATATAATATTCTTCAATACAATACAATACTAATTAATAAACCATATTTAAAAACAACCAAAATTGACCAAAGTGCTGGAGTAATAAAAGTGACAGAAAATAGATAAAAATGGAGAAATGAAGGGGGGAAGTCTAATGTGAATTGGTAGTGTTCCAGAGTTTAGGACCAGCAACTGCAAACGCTCAGTCACCTCATTTATTATGTTCTAGACACAGTGAGTAAATTGAGATCATAAAATCTCAGTGATCGAGAAGGGGTATATGGACAGAGCAAGTCTGTAAAGGTACTGAGGCGCAAGATTATTGACGGCTTTGTATACAATCAATTCTGTATTTAAAGGGTAATCAGTGAAGTACATGTAAAATAAGAGTTACAGACTCATACTTGCAGGTGATAGAGAATAGACTAGCAGCTGTATTTTATACCAGCTGCAGGCGAGCTTATGGCATTGAGTTTTTTTATGAAGTATAATTTTAGAGGTATTACATTTCATAGTTTCTGAAAGAGAGAGAGAGAAAAAAAATATTTATATATATATATATATATATATATATATATATATATATATATATATATATATATATATATATATATATATATATATGTTCCTAACAGCATACACAAATTTAAATATATTGTCCTTTACAGTTCAGGTTAAATAGTTCCAAATCTTTCCAAAATATTCTGGAGTAAACACAATGAAAAAAAAAGATGCAAAATTGCTTCTTTTTCTTGACCACAAAATTAACACATATATGAAATATTAAGTTTAAATCTTTCCAAAATATGTTTAGCAGGATAAAGTATTTTGTACAACATTTCTTTAATTTTGTTATTTAAGCAAAACTTATTTGTCAACTCCCAATCTTTAACACAAAAATATTATCAAATAATGAAAGCCAAAAATATCTTGCTGCAGAGAGAAGACTGAGAAATACTATAATAGAGAGAGTTACGGTAATCCAGACTAGTTGTTATGAAGGCATGAATCACTGTTTTACTAAATTTCTCTGAGATAAAAAAGGCTTGATTTAGACAGTTGTCTGAGGTGGTAAAAGTAGGATTTCATGACAATATTGATCTATTTGTCAAATTTAAATTTTTCATCAAACGTAACACTAAGATTTTTTGCACACTGGGTAATATGTGGGCCAAAGATAGCACATTGACATTTAACAGAGAATTTTCTTTGTGCCCAAATAAAATTACTTCAGTTTTATTTTCATTTAAAAAAAACATAGCTTGAGAGTAAAAGTTTAAGCTCATTTAAACGAGCCAAGAGTGTCTGTAAGCCATTCACATATTTTTGTTTTAAAGGAAAATAGAAGGAATAAAAATAAATCTAAATGACCTCATATTATCCACAGCTCAGTGACTGTAGTCAGACTGTAATCTGGTATCTTTTGATGACAAAAGCGTGAGGGTGCGCTTGGACGAGAGGTCAGTTGATGCATTTTGTTGATAGATATTGGTAATTGCATCACCAGCCCACGTGCTGTCATCATCAAAAGGGACCGAACTACAAGTCGACTAGAGTCATACATATGCAGATATCTGTTTAAGCATTAAAGTTAATAACATTGTAAATAATGCTCAATTTCTTACACAGGCCAGTCGTTTCGCAGTCATCGGGACCTATGAATATTGATTTGAACTCGTTTGTGTTTATTTTTAAGCTAAAAAATCATATTAACATTCACTGCCATTATATGAATCACTGTGGAGCACAGATTCATAATATTCATAATATACAGATTCTTTAATATTCTACAAGGGAAAAAAAAATGTTGCCCACATCTTGGATGACCAGTGAGTGAGTAAATTAACAGGAATTTTTTATTTTTGGGTGAACTATCCCTGTAATATATGAAGTAGGTTTTCTAATACCTAAAATCTCATTCATTCATTAATTTTCTTTTCGCCTTAGTCCCTTTATTAATCTTGGGTCGCCACAGTGCAATGAACCGCCAACTTATCCAGCATATGTTTTACGCAGCGGATGCCCTTCCATCTCTGGGAAACATCCATACACACTCATTCACACTCATACACTACGGACAATTTAGCTTACCCAATTCACCTATATCGCATGTCTTTGGACTGTGAGGGAAACCGGAGCACCCGGAGGAAACCCACGCGAACGCAGGAAGACCTAATATCTAAACATTTTTATTGTAAAATGCCAGGAGTTACTCTTAAATAAAGAGTAAATGGAACTTCCATAAATACAGTGCTAGTATTTAATCTTGGCATTTAAGGAGACAAACCAGGTGCCCCAGAAAGCAATTGCATTAACAATACCATCACTGACTAAAACTCATTCTGAATTAATTCCCCTCAGTGTATGTAAAATGCCCTTGATGACGTAGACAAACACAAACACAATTAATTGACTCAGCCAAGCCACGTAAATACAATAATCTCAGGTCTGACATTGTTGTTGTCAAGAGATAAACGGCCCTCCACTGCCAAGATAACACAAACCACGTGATCAACACTTCAGCATCTGTAAGAATGCATCTGTAAAGAATGTGCAGTGTCACTGAGGTCAAGAGCTGGATCTCCAATGTTTGTCTGCAGCTCATTGGTTACGACACATGACGTAATCTCAGTGCAGACGTAAATAAATGGCGTGACTTCCTCTACGCACGTTGTGCAGGAAATGGTGGACTTCACCGAAGGGGTTTGCAGCAGACTGTCAAACTAAATATTTTGACTGGGAGAGCTAGCAGGTAGCGCGGAACGTCCAATGTTTAGATCCATATCACACAGACACTTTCCATGTCTCAGCCCCCCAGTCACACGAGGTCCATCCTTTAAAACTCCATCCCAACATTGGGTTACTATCTAACTTTGTGGAAATGGATCTTTAACTGAACCAATGACATCAGTGCAGATCTGCAGACCAGCAGTACTTTTAAAATCAAATAACACCCTGCTACATAGTGTGTGAAAACAGTACATGTGCTGAGATGCATGTCTATATATATAGACATATGATTGCAAGGTCGATTATAGTTTATTATTTTTATTTATTTTAATTTTTTTTAAGGAGTGGAACACATGCATAGGAACCCATAGGAAAAAGTCTTTTTTAAAAATCAGGGTTCTTACACATTTTCCAACTACAAATTCCAGCACTTTTCAAGCACTTTCAAGGTACATTTGTATGGTTTTCCTGCAACTAATAACCACGGTTAATTATGTTTATATATATATATATATATATATATATATATATATATATATATATATATATATATATATATATTATATGTATTTTTCACATTGAAATCAATTGTGCTATTTTAAAAAAAAAAAAATTTATTGAGCACTTTAGATTTATTGGAGATATTTTGGATTTATTGGGATAGTTTACCCAAAAATGATTAAAAAATAAATTAAAAATGCCTTTAAGTTTGGTCTCTTTCTACGTAAAGTTGATATCTCAAGAAATGAGCTTACAGTCAGATTTTGTTTGGGTGTCGTACATGATATTTCATGTGCATTGCTATTTTTTCTTTACAGTCATTGGATTGTGGTTTTAGGTTTAAAAATAGGTCTTTAAAAATCTGACTTTAAAAATTTAGTTGTCTTAAATTTCAGATAATCAAGTTAAGA